TCACCATAGGGGCGTGACTAACCATCCCCACCCAGTCCTCAAACAGGCCACGCTCAGCTTTTTAGCGCAGAGCAACTTCCCGGAGTCTTCACAGAGACTTCAGGGTTGTCTACCGCTGACGAAGCTTCTGTGAGAGAAGCGAAATGTCCTTTTTTGTTTTTTGTTTTTTACCCACAGGTACAGATGACGACTGACAGAACCCTTTCTACGATTCAATAGAGAAGATTTTCAATGAGAACACAGTTCATTCCTGAGGTGATCAGACGGCTTCTGATGGACGTCGGTGGTCCGCAAACACAGCTGTGGATGTCCCTCACATGGTGTCCTGGGGTTGATGTTATCTTCTCACAAGCAGCAGTAAATTTGATCAGAAGCCGTTATTTGAGGAAATACCACGACTTTGGCCACAATTGCTAGAATAGAAATCGAGATGATCGTAAGTCTGCTGCTTGATGAATTTCACGTTGCGATGTACGTGCAGATGGCTGGCAATCCGACTGGAGTTTGTCTGCAACTGCATTGTGTCCTCTGCTGCTTTGTTTGCCGTCATCGCCAGAGAGAGTCTCAGTCCAGGTATCATGGGCCTGGCCATCTCCTATGCCCTTCAGGTAAACCTAGCCGAGCAATTCCTCGCTCACTTTCTCTGCAATTTGGTCGAGAAACGAAAAAGTTCATCCCTTTTCATGATTCATGCACTGTACTTCTAAGAACAACCGCACCAACGCCTGCTTTTCCATAAATGTCCTCCGACTCCGACTTTGAATCCTTGTAAACAGATTAGCTTCATTTATTTGGTTCAGAGGTTTCGTCTTGACATGAATATCATCCTCCATTCACCTGGCTATCCCGTCTCACGTGCAGCTGACGGCCTCTCTGACCTGGCTGGTGAGGATGTCCTCCGATGTGGAAACAAACATAGTTGCAGTGGAGCGAGTCAAAGAGTACAGTGAGACAGAAAAAGAGGTCACGAAAGTCGCCGTTGCTTGGATGGCAGATGTCTGTGATCCGGTACTAATTTGGACTTCTCATCCTACGACCACCAGGCTGAGTGGAAGCGCGAGCACTCCGGCCTGGACCCCGGGTGGCCCACCGAAGGGCGCATAGAATTCAGAGGCTTCGGTCTACGATACCGTCGCGATCTGGACCTGGCCATCCGTAACATCACAGTCAGCATTTCAGGAGGAGAGAAGGTCTGACATTGTTTTGTACATCGACAACTCACATCGGTCATCCCTGCAGTATGCCTCGTGCATTCGTAAATACGCTCTGAGTGCGGCACGCTGCTTCATTCGGAAACGCGGAGCGTTGTTCAAATGTGCCTGTTTGGTTATTCACGGTGCCGGTCGCCCCCCCAGTACGTCAGGCAGTTCAAGGAAAGGCAACAGTCAATGCGCAATAATTGTGTGACTCGCGTTGTGACAATCTTCCTCTCAGGTTGGGATTGTCGGTCGCACAGGAGCAGGCAAGTCATCCCTGACACTGGGCCTGTTCAGGATCATTGAGGCGGCACAGGGGCAGATTTTCATTGATGGAATTGACATTGCTGAACTTGGCCTCCATGAGCTCCGCTCCAGAATTACCATTATACCACAGGTCAGTGCTGGGATGGCATAAAGAACTCAGAGATGAAAGTGGACTTTTCTGAAAATTCCGGAAAAAGGCCAAGTGCGTGCGTGCGCGTGTGCGCGCGCGCGCGCACACACACACACACACTTATATTTTTTTTTTCCGGAATTTTCAGAAAAGTCCACTTTCATCTCTGCTCCTCCCACCCCTTGCAGTCGACTTGGGACCAATCCGCTGGCTCCCGGTTGAGTGCGATCGACGTATTGGGCACCCCTGCTTTGACATCAGAGGTCATTCGCTGACTAGCTTAGCGTTTAGCACCATTGTTTGGGCATGAGTGGTGATTCACTTTAAGAAAAGATATCCTTTATTTGTCCCACACTGGGGTCAGAGGTCTTCCCCCTCCCCCCCCAATATGGCGCCCGATTAGGCAGCCGTCGGCAAGTGCTCTTCGACAGCCTTGCATTTGTTGTTGTTTTGTCTTTTGTTTTGTCACATGGTGTTGTTGTTACGTCGAGTGGACCTGATGTGGACTGTTTTCAGCATTTTTGGCCATGACATTCGTCAAAGAAGAATAATCTGTGCTTGGTGGTTGTGCCTTCACAGCAGCACGCGTGTACCGGCACTGATTTGGATTGGGAGTAATGTCGGCACCATTTGACTGTCATTGCTGGACATGTATATTGCACATGCAGCACATTTGACAATAACGTTGTACTTGACTTGACTTGAATTGATTGGTTGCCCTTTGTGTCAATCTAGTAAAGAAATTGATGATAGGCTGACGTAGTACGTTCTGTGTATTTAGCACCGTTGTTTGAATGGCATTGCCACCGCCGACGCATTTTCAACGCTTGTCGTGTTTAAGCCCGGGAGCCACATTGAACCAGCCAAAGAGCCGTGGGTTGGCCAGCCCTGCTCTCAGCCATGTTGACGTTTTGGGGTGAAAACCGCTGTAATCGCTAGCTGCTCGCTACTGTTACCAGCGGTCAACTTCCAGCAGCGTTTCCAACTCATCAGTAAGGAAAGTAGCTATTGGCTGTCCTAAATAGGGATGAGAGTGGCAAGTGATGAAAAAATCTGAAAATCAGTCAGGGGTCTGGGGTCCAGGGGCAACGCTCTGGATGGGGGCCCAGGGGGCAAAGTCCCCCGAAGCTAATGGGTTTTCGAGATTTTAAAGCCTTGAAACCATTAATTTTATCAACAAAATTTTACAATTTTTGTTGAAATACCATTCCCTATTTGCTTCCAAAATTGGCACTTTATACTAAACATGCTAAAGATGAAGTGTATTCAATGTATACAGTCCTTGAAACTTTCACAGAAAAAAAGATTGTTCACTCTTCTTTCAAGTGAAATTTTGTCATAGGCCTTTGTGCAATTTTGCTTATGCATCCCTGGTGAGCGCCAACATGTAACTTCAAATTTGCTGCTCAAAATCACAACTAAAAAAAGGAAACATTTCCTGCCATATTTAAGATTTGTTCATTACTTGTATTCATAAAAATGTTGTGTAAATGTGATAAAAAGATGTTGATTCTAACCTCATAAAGTGATAGTGAAGTCTCAAACTGTTTACTATACAGTTAATGGGTTATGAATGCATTTTCCATATAGAATGACATCGTCACACACTGGACACAGAGCTTTACCAGCAACATCGAGCTTTTTCACGAAATCCGACACAAGCACAATGGTTCCTCTTTACTGGTTCCTGCTGGGGACACGGTCAGATTTTCTGTCCAACCAGTCCCATCGAAACTTGTTTTTCAGATCCGCATCTATCTGACACATTTTAGCTTCATCACGAGTCTCGATAACATTCGGCATTCGCGAGAAAGGGGTTTAGGAAGGCGAACACGGATTGGTTGTGATTCTGCATTTGCCGATATAGCGACCAATCACAACAAGTTAGACATTGGTTTTCACCCATATACGAAGTAACGACAAACTAATGCTTCGCGAGAAAAAGCGGGATTCAAAATGTAAGCTTGCAAACTTTATTTGGAAACATTACGAGTCCCGAGTCTGCCGAAGACAAGTAAGTCCGGCAGCCCAGACATAACACCAGATGAAGTAGCAATATTATTCACCGTCACCTTCCATTTAAGGCTATTGAAATAAAAGTATATAATTGTAATTTTGGCCGTTTGTCCACAAATCTCAAAAAATTCCGCTCAAATTGACAACAGAACACAAGTTGACCTCAAAGTCAACTTAGCTGAGTAGTAAAATGAAATGACATGCCTACTGGTTTCATAGCAATCCTTTGCCACACTATTTATAATACTTTCTACACGATTAACATGTTTTCTTTTTACACTTTAAAGAGTCTTTCGTCATTAAATGCTGATTAGTGCAAGCTATCATTAATTATCTGGACTACTTATTAAGTTTGATTTGCAAATGTATTTATTGACAGACACTATATTAATCCATGACCCCAGAAAATAACATTTCCTATTGTTCGTGGGTTTGGGCAAGAGGTGGATCACTTTAAATTATGAAACAAATCAAATTTACAAGCATTCAAGAAGAATAAAATGGTATTCAAAATGGATGCTTGCAAACCTTATTTGTAAACATTACGAGTCCCGAGTCTGCCGAAGACAAGAAGTCCGGCAGCCCAGAAATAACACCAGACGCTCCTGCGCTAAAATGTTCTCAACGGATTTGTAACAATATTAAAAGAAGGCCCATTTTGACTGGAAAAAAGTGGAATTCCGCCAAAAAGTGGAAAAATCTCATCCCTGCCTAAACGTCTCTCAGTGATGTCATCAGTGCGTGTGATTTACTTGGAAGATGTTTTTTTTCTTATTTTTTTTTCTTTTGTAATTTTTATTTGTTTATGT